GGGTTGAGGAAAAATTTATTTTGATAGTTGATTTTTCTCGCTTCACGGACGTTGTAAAGGGGGAGGGGTCGTACTTGCTCATTGTTGGGAGGGAGGGGGGGGGGGGTCGTATTTACTTTTTGGCCTTCTAGGAGTGGTGGTTGACTTTTCGTGATTTCCTGTTTCATGCGTAGTATATATCCTCCGCTCGACAGCAAAATTTCAAAATTTTTGGGAAAAAGTAGGGAAGTTTTCGGGAAATTTTGGAAAAAGTGGCAGGAAGTTGGGGAAAATCTGAGAATTGGTAGAAGGGGGGGGTCGTATTGTCTCGCGGCTTTTCCTGTTTCACATGTGCTATTTACCCCTCCCCCCGCTCGACGGCTCGATTCGATGAGGAGGGACAGAGGGCCGGAGAGGGGGGGGGGTCTTACCAATCCCCAAAAAAGAAGGGAAGGGAGGGGGTAGTACGAACTTGACTAAAATCCCCAACCAATGATGTGCCCTTGTAGCGGCAGTGCAAAATGCCCTTCCCCCGTCGCCGAACTGCCCCAGAAATCAAAATAGCATCCATTTTGCATAAAAGACATTGAACTGGTAGTCAAGCTTTCAAAGCTAGAGGCAAAGACTAGTGCAGGGACCGTGGCACACGCAGGGAAAGGAGAACGCTGCGCCTTGCCGGAGAACAGAAACTGGTGTATGCTCAAACAGAAACCGAACTTCCATGCATGACTCTTTGCTTGCAATACAGTTCTCAAACCTGCAACATGTTTCTTCTCATTTTGTCCAGTCGGATCATAGTTGAGGCGTATTGTCGGTTTATTCCATGGAGTACTGCCTTGGGGATCCGACAGATTCACACGAGACAGATCGTAAACCCAATCGGCAATAACAATTGGGCATTCCTTAAGCAAGTTACTAAACCATGTGCATCGTTAGAGTTTCAAGGATACATTTAGATATGAGTTTAAGCCTTTTCGATTGCAATGCATCTCTTCGAGATGGTCGTAGGGGCGAAGTCCATTGAAAAGCGTGGGCTTTCCCTTGATGGGCACTCCTTTCGAGCTGATAGAAAGCAAGAATGCACCAGTGATACAGTGCAATTGAATGCTACTCACCCAGGACATCTACGCGTATAGGTCACCAAAGAAGCGGTCCATAAAGACCAACGAAAATGTGCAAAATTGCGTGAGACGCTGCTCGCAGTCGGCAACCTTCAACAAGTTTCACAATGGGAAGTTGTGAGGTGAAAGGCGCCAAGAATGTTGCTTCTTTTGCTGTTGTTGACGGAAGACGGGCAAGAGAATCGTAAATTGCCGCTTCGTCACGCGCGGCAATGGCGCGACGTTCCCTCAATTTGCACTACCCTTTCATTTGGAGCATCGGATTTCATGTAGACAAGGACATGGTGCATACTTATGCTTATTTTTGGTCATACAATTTCTATTCTCGACCAATACCACCTAAAATCATCGTCATTAGCGAGCGCCCACTGGCGCGGAGATTGTCTTGCCACATACCCGTTGTTAACACCTCTTTTTTCCAGTGACTCACCCCCCCCCCGCACCCCCAGACTTCGTCCTCGAAGTCCACCCTCCAGCGAAAAAGCGTGCTACCAGAAGAGTAGCATGAAGTGGAAGCTCCATTGTAGTTTACTGGGTCGTAAAGGTCATTGGTAGAGGCAGGTGAATAGACTCGTAACAGCCCGCGGTCCTTCCGCATTTTACCATTGCTTTAGAGGCATTTCCGACGTTTCCTTCTGCACTTTTTGACAGATCTCTCGGCAACTTCCATATATCAACGCCACTACCTACGCTTTCAATCGCAGACCTTGCCTTCAAGCTCGGCGAGCGGTGGGGAGAGTGGGGGGAAGGGGGGTGGGAGGGAAGAAAGAAAAGGGTGCGACTTTCTCTTTCCAAGCGATGCATGCGTTGTTGTGGGATATCTCTCATTTCATTAAAACTTCCGTGCAGTTTCTACGCTTGACTTCCCAAGAACAAGTTCCAATTTGAGGCGCAGTAGCATGTTGACACCAGTTTTCTAGATTGAATGCTTGATCCAGAAAAGGACTACTTTGCAAGTTCGCATGCCAGTAGTATCACTTCAATGATTTTCGGATCAATGATCTTCAATCCCGAATTCAGCTGGAGGCAGAATATGATGGGAAGTTAAATTTCTATGGAAGCGATGGTGAGCAGAGGAAGCTTTTGCAGAGAATTGGCACCTTGTAAGAACACCTCTATGAGAGCCCTGGAAGAAACTTCTGTGCATTAAGGTGGTCTGGGGCTAATCGGTTTCCTTGATTTGAAGTTGGTGGGGTCATTTTTACTGAAGACGGGTCTTGCCCCCCCCCCCCTTCTTCAGGTTTTCTGAAAGTGTCTTACGATTACACACAATATCCTGAGGATAGAGAGGGCGTGGCTGCTCGCTCTATTGGAACCCGACAGCCACTGTACCTCAGAAGGCATCTTTTCGTTTTGGGACCATTGTAATCATGTCATTGTCCACCGCAAAACAGGTTGATAGATGCTTTAAATGGAAATATCTCACAAGGAAAAGCAGCCAGGTTCAAAAGAAATACACAGTCTTCCCCATCCTGCAGGGACATTAGGAGTTGTCAAGTGCCTCCTTGCAGGCTGCTTTGCTTTTATCTCTGGATAGCACATAAATGAGTATTCTGGACCCAGTATTGTTCCCTTTTAATGAATGATTTTGCGTTGGAAAAGAAAACGGCTGACCTGTTCATCATAAGGCCAAGCAGTGAAATCGAAGCGACATGTGACATGGAATGAGAAGGAACCACTAGCCCAAACTCTTCCATTACTGCTGATCATTGCCGGTAAACCATGCATGTAGAGATGCCAAGAATTTCCTTTTGCGCTGAACAACAATCGAGTATTCAATGGATCATTAGACTGAAGGCGCATTTCGGCGACGGGGGGGGCATTTTGCACTTTTCCTACTTTTCTCGTCTTGTCGACCCATCTAGAGAGCCTTTTCTTCCGTTGACAGGTTTCACCATCGCGGCTCGATGAGCTTGCTCCACCTCCACAAGAGTTCCCAGGTTTCATCAGGTAAAGTATGCACTCGTGGAGCAATGAAAGTGCAAAATGCCCCTCCCCCATCGCCAAACTGCGCCTAGACTGAATCTCGCTCAGGCCAGCCATGTCCCTCTACTTACCCAGGCTGGTGGAGGAAAATGGCTGGCTGATTGAATAGTGGAAAGATTGATTGGATCAATGAAAATTGACTCGAGCATGTTGCTCCCAAGTTATTGTGTTTCGTTTGTCTACTTTTCTGTCGCAGAGAAGTAGACAAACGGAGTACGCGCTGCAAACGTGGCCATGTATCAGAATCTGCAGAAGGAGCCAACCTACCCAACGTGGCAGCTGCAGTGCGCGTCTCTAAACCTTCCAAGTCAACTCGTACTGCTATGCCCTACCGAAAAGTGAAGCTTCACAATTAGTCATTGTCAGGTACAGTCCTGTTCGCAACGACTGACAAGCGTGTTAAGGCGCAATGGTTTCGCCAGCTCGTTTTTTTTTCTTCTGGCAAACGATAAAGCTGACTCACAGCTTTCGTATAAATCGTTTCCCACCTGTTTGTTGTAGCTTACTCGCTCTAATAACTAGTTGAGAATGAGGTGGTGGTGCGTCAAACCAGCCTCGCTGAAACTCCCCATCTTTCGCAGCGAATGAGAGTGGTACACATTGTATTTGGCGGGTAGACGAGTTGCAAGTGCAGAACAAATGGATCGCGTGACACTGGCCATGAAGAGCGTCGCCTTTTCAGTGTTTCTTAACCTCACCAGGCTTTAGTTCCATGAGTTGAGTGTCAATATGTTTGCAACTGACAGCTTATCCAAGGCGGCACATCCGCACCAATTACAGCTACGCATTGCGTTTGCACCCTTCCTCTTCGATGCTCAGCTTTTTTGCATGTTTGGAGATGACGCTAGCGTACGCTGGTGACGCTGGGAACGCTAGATCGATATCCATCCTCTCCCCGGCACTGCCGCTGGCGTACGCTGGAAGCGCTACGCTACGCTGCCGCAAAGTATAAACGCAGCCTAGTGGGTTTGGCGCCGCACCAGGCAGGGGCGTGTCCCGTCTAACATGCCTTTTCATCCGCAGCGAACAAGCCGGTAGATAGGTAGTGAAAAAGTAGCATGCTACAAATGAGAAAACTCTATCTGAACGCTGAATTTCCTCTACCAGTTCCTACCAATGCAGTGCCTTCTACAATAGAATGCAGCTTTTCTTGTTAGCCGCTAAATACGACTCATTTTCCATCATATACCGGCAAAGGATTCTCATCACACGGCGTAGAGTGATTCTATTCTTTTTCATGTCTCAAAATCTGCACATTATTGGTCCATTTGCACGAGTTTCCTGGTAAAAAGGGACTTCATCTAGTGAACTTTTCACTTTATCGAACCAATCCTCTTTGAAGCGCAGTTTGCAGCGGAACTATTGCTACGCCATTTCCACCATAGGGCAATTTAGATAAAGAAAGAACCTCCACGATGTGCACTATATAAGGGTTATAAGGCTCCGTCATAAATTCCTCCCTCACTGAAACGTCTTTGCTCATCACCTCGTTAGAACTAGCGACGCATCGGTAAGGAAAACAAGGAAATTGCGGTCCAATTCACTTGCTCCGCCCATTTGGTTATCGCGGAGAGTTTCGCTAGGTTACTTTACAGACAGCAAGCCAAAGTAAGCGAATTTTACAACAGCTCTTGCAAAAAAGTCCTATACCTGTTATAAAGAGCTAATGCTGGCTGCCAAATTTTCCACGAATCGATGTTAATTTTTGTTGTGTCGTTGTAATCCTTTGGAGTCCATACGAGATACTCATCAACCCATGTTGCCCATAGATGGCCATGCACTAGCATTGTTTGCTCATGCTCATCCTGCAATTGACTGAGTGTGCTCGGGAGACAAAGTCTGTTATATCCACAGCTACTGTACCCTCCTCATTGTTGCCTTCCTCCTTCAGTACGGTAAGTAGGACAGTATCGTCTATGGATAAAGCACCATGGTCACAAGTCTATCCGTTTTCACTAAGTGATATCACCGCAAGCAGCCGGGGCGGTTCAGGAGGCATGGAATGACGTTTTCGATTTATACCACTGGTTATTCTCCTTAATCATCGAGCGGATGCAAGGGAGAAAATATCATTGCTCACAAATTTTTCCGAGAGAAGCGATTGTAGTTAACCTTTTCGGAGGGAGTACAATCTATTTAAGTCCACTCC